CAAAAAATGCTCTGTGTATATAAATGTGCGTATGTGTGATTACATACATGTGTGTTTGTGTGTGCGAGTGAGAAGCGGGGACACATGGAAACAGGACTGGTCTGGCCCTCATGACATAGGCAGGCTTGGAGTTGGAGACGTGCAATTACACTGATCAAGGAGAAATTACAGCTCTGAGGAGGAAGGCAGGGCCAACATAATCTTATAGGTGTGTCAGTGTTTGGCTGCAAGACAGAGAGAGACAGGGAGAGCAAGAGCGAGAGAGAAGGAACCTGTGGCGTCTTTACTGGAAATCCACGTCAGCGCCACCCATCACACACTATTAGCTGCCATCAAAGCTCTAATTTTACTCTAGCATTACACCCCGCTACCTGCATCCTCCTCCCTCCCCTGCTGGTCTGGATAGCGCAGCCTGGTGGGAAAACGACATTCAATCCGCTGTCCGCCCCATTCAGGCCAAATTGGCAAATGACAGCTCTCCACCTCTCAGATTTCGGGAAGTGAAAGGTACCACCACCACCATCGGCCTGAGCTCCCAAAAGCAGTTGGCGGTGAAGGAGGAGGGGTGAGTGCAGGGGGAGAGTGAGGATCTGTGAGGAAGAGGAGTGGACTGAGGTGGGTTAACAGCCTCCCTTGTCCTCCTCGGTGGTGACGGTGCTGGACGGAGAACACAGAGAAAAGAGAGAAGAATGCCTACTCAGCGGATCAAAGGAACTTCCCTGAGACCAATGGGGAAAGTTGACCTCAATCCCCTGATCGCCCACTTTACCACCCCGGGCCGAGCTGTGCAGGCTGATGAGACGACAACGTTTGCCCTCATGGAGGTCAACAGCAGCGAGAGGGCAGTACACAGAGTGAAATCCATAAGGGTATAGAGACATCCTGACTTGGGTACATTGGCACTTAAAATAAGCTTTTATCAAAATCAAATCAACTGTATCAAAATAAATCCCTCGAGATGTATCATCTCATTTTAAAGGGGTTTATGGCTCTCTTCCAGATGTATTCAAATAAAAATTCTGCAGAAATAAACCATAAAGACAAAAAGCAGTGACATCTTTCGTCTGACGAGCTATGAGCTACATATGGAGGAAAAAAAACACATAAAATATATATATATATGGAACATGTATACAGAAGAAGCAGTCTGCTCAGCACACACGCACAAACAACCAGGTCTTTCATCAGCGTTTTACCATGACACACAGGGAAAAAGACACAGAACATACTGTGTTAGACACTAACTGGCTGCTCGACTGAATGGTACTCTTACTGCTAATTAAGTGCTAATGGCAGTTCCCCCTGCAGAGAATACTAATTAATGTTCCATTCTCCTGCAGGCTTTGCGCGTACTCCACCACGGCCTAATGAGGGGAGGCAGGTACGTCTTCTCCCAGGCTGGGTTAATAAGCTCAACACAGTGGGGTCTAAGTAGAGTGGGCCATACCAGGGGGCTGCTTCCTGTTCCCTAATCTTAACAGACCCCCCTCAGAACACTCACAATGAGCCACGGAGGTAATGAAAGGATTTGTCCCATAAACTCGGAAAATAGGCCAGCTTATGTGTCTCGGTGGATAGCACCTCAAAAGTTTTAGTGTCTGTACTAATGTAAATTAATCAACATGGAGGAAATTGAACAACCAGTACACTTAGAGAACGTGATATTTCTTCGGCTTTCAGACAAAGATATCTGTAAAATAATTGGGGGAAAGGTGTCCATATTTCACAGTAAAGTGTATATAACTCATATATAGCTATTGTATGTACAGATGGGTGACAAATGAAAGGACAAAAGAAGCCCTACAAGTGTCTTAGTATGATGTCAGACCACCACAAGCCTCCAGAACAGCTTCAGTTCTCCTTTGCCAATTCTGTGGAACTCTACTGGAGGAATGAACACCATTCCTTCACAAGATACTTCCTCATTTATATATATGTAGAAAACCTTTTTTAATCAGGTAACATCATTGAGATCAACATCTATTTTGCAAGACATACCAAAAAGTCATAGCTTCAGAGACGGTCAGTGAAATCACTATAATAGATTTGAAGATGAAAGTTTATATTATTTCACTTGGTTTTATGGTGATGGTGGTGGAGAGTATTGTCTTACACATTGCTCCAAAATCTTCCACAGGTGTGAAACTGGGTTGAGATCTGGTGACTGTAAAGGCCGTAGCATTTTATTCACATCATTTTCATACTTACCAACCCATTTGGTTTGCCCGGGTGCACGGAAGCAACTGCATTTGATATGTTTTTCCACTCTTTTATTCATGTTTTTCCTTTAATTTGTCCACCGTCTCTATATACTATTTGTACACAGCAATGCTAAAGTACACAAGTACATGGAAAACTGTTCCTTTTTAAATAAATAAAGATTTTTGACACCGAATACCATGTCATATTGGGTATGCTTTCTTGTGTGTCTTCGTACAGAATTACGACCTAGAAACTGCTGATGTCTCTTAGAAAACAACTTCTATTTTAGCTCCCTGAGAATTTGCACGGCAGAAAAATAAATAAATACATTACCTGTTTGGATGCAGAAAGCCTGGGAATCAGATTCAAAGTGCTGAAGAATGAATGGATGTGTGAGTATGCGGCTGCGTGCATGAGCATAAACATAGATTGAGGATGGTATTGGAATTACCTGAGTGAGATAATGGTGGTGCATTAGATTAACTTTCAGTCCTTAAATGCAACACATTTAGGCAATCTTGTCCCCCAAAAACATGTCAATGTCTGAAAGGCCTCCCTCTCGCTATCAGGAGCCTCTGGTCCCCCACACTGATGCAGCTGGCAAGGCGCTACTGTCGACTGTCAAAACGCAGCGCCAGATCTAGTTATAAAATAATTGAATTTTCATATCAGAGGGGACCAGAGTCCCGGCAGACAATAGGAGTGCTGAGTCCTCTCTGATATTGGCTCAGGCCCTTTGCCATGCGCATGAAATCAGTATGTTAATGTTCCAGGGTTTTCTTTTTTTAAGGGCACTTGTGCTCTCGCAATGTACTACCGATGCGGTTTCAAAAAATTGCAACTATTGATAAGTAGGCAGCCAGCAACCCCCTCGACCCCTCCTCCCACCCAACATGCCCACCCCCGCCTCCCCCCAACACACCGAGGCTCTAGACGTTCTCGCACCCCCATCCTCCCCCATTATTAAAATTGTAATTTATTTTTCTAAATCAGAATGACAGCTTGCTTTCTTTTCTCTGCAGCAGGCAGTGAATCACCGAGCTTTAATTACTTTCGTAACTTCGCTGACCCTGTGAGCGTGCTGCTCTGCCAGAGAAAATGGGACCTCCAACAAAGGCCCTCCACAGCCATAGCCGCCTTCGGTTCATTCAAAATGTGAAAATTTATCAAACTACGGATTTTATAAGATTTTGTTAACATTTCACCTCCTATCTTTTTCACACTCTCCCAAAACACCCCCGCTTGCAACAGTTCTGCACTCTCAATCTCCTGGCCCACCTCCTGAAGAAACTCTGGATAACTAAACAACCTTATTCCACCTCTCCCTCTTTCCTTCTCTCCCTCTCTCTCTCTCTCTCTCTGTGTGTGCTTGTGTTGACTCAAGAAGGTCTCTTCAGGTCAAACAGCCAGAGGTCACACTATTATCAGTAACCCCTTCATATCCAGGCCGTGGCCCCGGCAGCAGGGAGACAGGCAGCACAGGGTCCTGAGGCCACCAAGCACAGATCAACAGGGATCAACGTTACATTTGATCACTTCACAGATCTTTGGCCTGCAGACATCAGGGTCAAGCTTTATTCAGCATAGCCGTCAGAGTCCACCACGCGGCTATCGGCGGCCTTTTCACAAAGGACTCGCTTCAGTGTTTAAAAGCATCCATCACATGGATCATGGCCATGACACTGATGTGTGAGAGAGCTGTGCATGACTTTTAAATCGAACAGGATGAAGGTTTAAGATACTGCCCTGTTCTGCTTTGTTGCTACGAAGTTCAGGCATGTTTCTTGTTTGCCAACAGATCCCTATTTGCTTCACATTATTCCCAGCGCCTGATTTATTAAAGTAGCTAATATGTTGTAATCCCTGCTATCGCTCTCACCTTCACACTGGCACACCTCTGTTTTGGGCTGTGCCACTGTGTGAACCAGGGGTGTGCAGGCACAGTTGGTCTTTTGCTGACTGCCTGATAATTGAATGAGCGATTATCCCTCCCATTAATAGACAATGATACAGAAAGCACTGCCATATGTACGGAATATTAATGAGTGGCTGCAGCGGCCTAGATAAGAAGCGCCATGCAGTTGCTGTAATAGGGGTTAAAACAATTTGCTCCCCACCACCACCCTATCCCTCCTCGCGCACACACACAGACACACACACACACACGCACGCACAAGCGCCCATGCTTTACACTATGCTAATCCTCCATCCTCTCGCCAAGCAAGCTACCACAAACCAACCACCCCCCATGGCCTGGACTTGTGCTTGGAGCTGACCTCAGTGCTGCCAAGGCTGACCCGCCATTGTGCAACAGTGCGAGCAGGGTCACTTGACAACAGAATGGCATGCTAATGATGGGAAGCAGCGGGTGTTTAGTATTTATGTTATGAGACATTTTGCAACAAAAGAAGATGGAGAAAAAAAGAAACATTCAGCCAGATTTTTTTTTTCCTAAAAAGAAAAATAAGTGAAACTAGTGTTGTTTTTATGCAGCTTCCTTGCTTTATCTACCTGTTATAAGTCTTCATCTTCTTGCTGTCAGGAGTAAAGTGTTTTTTTCCTAATATTCAGCTAAAGTGAAGATGCAAGAGCAGCTGGAGCCCACAGTGCCACAAAGGCCTATCCAGCATCACCTCCATCAAATTTCAATAAAGGTTGCAGAGAGTCAGGCAGGTGAAACAGTTGGGGCACACTTCTATATGAATGGCCATGCCAATCAATATCTAACATCTATTAGCATTGGAAAGTAATATTTCCCCTTTTACCTTGCAATAATTGTGCTTAATGTTGTGAAGTACCTTATCATAGGTCTGACGGCAAAAGAAAGGCCAGTTACCATGGCGACTGTGAAAGCCATTGGTCTCCTTTTCAGCAGAATAATGAACTTCTCTCCTCTGTGTGTCACTCTTCCACTCCACTCTCCGCCTCTTCGATTAAATTGAAGTCCACACCTCCTTGAAATCCCTCATCTCTGCCTTATAATTTGCCAAACAAGAGAAAAACACAGAAAAAAAAATGTTCAAGGCTCAACAAATGCATCACTTTAGGCAGAGGCGTAGGTGCATCTCACAATAAGTGTATTTTTTGAAATTTACTAACAGGAATATGTCCTCTTAATTAAAAGTAAATACTTCTGTATGCTACTGCAGTTTACATTTTATTTTCTGACGACAGAATGGTTTAAGATTAGATTTTCCTTGACTCTATTTAGATAGTCGACATAGCTGTGAGATGATAATCACTAAATATGAGACCTGCATTCATCTTCTCGGATTAATAGAACAGACGTTCAAAAAACAAACATTTCAAAATAGGTTAAAAGTCCAATCTTTTTTTTGGTATTTTTAAATGTACCAGCACTGCTCTCCAAAATTGCAAATTTCATTTGAGTCCATCAGCTGCTAGCCGTTTTTTCATGCAGGTGAAGCTTGTCAAAAGTATGAATGTGTGAATCCGATCATTGATTGCACTCTCTATCCACAGTGTCCTTGACTACAGACTGGCCGACGACATCAAATGTTTTTATTCACTAGTGTGTGTGTGTGAGTTTGCAATATGGTCGACTGGGGGGGGGGCAACTAATTGAAGTACGCTAAACCGGGAGAATCAAGACACGTAGAAGCCCATTAAACGGCCAATTAAAGAGCAGTGGTGGTCAATTAGACTGATTTATCTGAGAAACATGTAAATGTGAAACACTTCACAATCATATAAGGCCAGAGCGTTTTTTCAGCACCTCTGTAGGTTGTATGTCATGACCTTACCGTGTTTCGTAGCCTGTGTATGCTACCTTCCTTTGGTCTCCTTTGTCTGTTAGTGCTGAGGGCCAAAAAAGGCAAAGAACATGCTTTAATGACACCGTTTTACAACACGGAAGTGTCATTTCTTTCAAAAAATGTAATCTTCCTGCATAAAGTTATCTGATTACTTTACTTAAGACAGCCCAAATGAGTGGCTGAGCACTCCTGACCTGCTACTGCTGAGTACAACTTCCTGACAAAATCAGACCACAGGGAGGCGCTCGTGAGCTGAAATCACTGGAGGAAATGAGCTACCGTCACCCTTGAGTAAAAGGTGACACTCACAGTGAGGTAAACTGTTGAAAAGTGCGCAGAGTAACAGTCTGAAGCCTTCATTCGATTCATTTTAATTAGTAAAAATTATATCATGTTTTAAACTAGCAGATCTTTGTCAGAGTCACCTTTTATTTGTTTTACATGCTAATAATTGGTGGAATATGATGCTCAAGACGAAGATGCTGGTGGAAGGAACTGTTTGTAGGCCTGCAGATGAAACTTAATGAAAAGAGTTGTATGATGCACTCATGAACTGGTCCCTGCGTTAAGTTGTTAACATTGTATGATGATAAATGCCAGTTTTAGGGGGTATTGCCTAATTTCATTGTCCTACTTTTTCCAGAGCCAATGCTGCCTAAACTATGTTAGGACTATTCTGTGTTATTGTCACATTGAATGAAGATATGCAATTTTATTCATAGTTTATTTGCAATGGCAGGAAGTTTAACATATTCAACCAACTGGCCTGTGGGTCAGTCATAACTCATGTGCTGTGGACAAACCCTCTCTGCATTATTTTACATTCCTGTCAAAACCCTGACGTTTCCAAAGGTACCAAATACATAAGGCTTTGGATTATGTGTAGTAAATTATGCTTGTTGAGATCAAACCTATTCTGATTTTTTTTTTTAAATATATATATATATATATATATATATATATGGAGTTTCAGAGTTTTAACTTTGAAAATTTCAGTCAATACAAGCATCATGTAACTGCAAAGAAGCACCGTTCCAAGCTACAAAATGTACACAAGAAAGTGTCACACAGTGTGGTAACTGTAGGGTTTTTTTCTTACTTTAAAGGTTCAGTATAGAGATTCTGAACAGTAATATAGTAGCAAACAACTATTTGCCATGTAACAATTATGTGGAGTCATGGCTCCTGAGCAGAGAAAGATATCACACTCCCTCTGACTGTGTTTTTATCCCAGCCTCTCTGTGCCTTGTTTATACAGCCAGTCTGGCTGCAGCATGTTAGTGTATGCGAGTCCCTCTGTGTGAAAATGTTAGCTTTGAGGAGAGCAATATAAAGTCTGTTTCTTTTCTCCCAGTGAGAACACTGTGAATTAAGAATTGTTTTCAACCAAACCAGAATTGGTGATTATTGGAACAGTGGAACGACCAACAAAGACAGTTTTGGAGAGTTTTATTTTTTCAGTTTCTGTCTGTGTGTGCTTTACGATGACTTGCAAGGTCAAATTTATGTTTTTTTCCAATGGAGTCTGGTGGCGAGCGAGAATGATATATTGGCTGTTTCTGGTTAAACAAAAAGGATCTTACTGTTTAACAAAAAGGTTCATCTCTGTAGTGAACACTTCCATAATGTTGTCAGACACTTAGAATAACAACCTGAGCCCATTAGTGGCAAAAACAATAACTTTTAGTGGACATACTTTGACTGGCACCATTTGTCCCCAGCAGCCATTGCAGCTCGTTTCGCAGATGCCAACTGAGGCGTCCAGCCAGAATATTTCCTTGAATTAAGGGTTTATTTCAACCAAGTCAGAGTTGGTAGTCATGTCCTACAGCTTTCACAGATCTCTCAATATGCATGACTGATGGAAAAATATTTTGTTGTTGTTGTTTTTAGTCCCACACTCTGCTTTCACTTCCCCAAAATTAGCTATACTGTATCAACTGTTCTCATAGGGAGTAGAGTTAGTTTCAGTCTGACTAAGAAATTAGTAGGTGATTTCACACTTACCAGACAGGAAAGCTTCATTGCATAATGAGTTCTTTATATGTGACATACAGTTAACACCAGTAACTCATGTGCTCCCACTTTATGATACATATCAAACTAATTACAAAAACATGTGCAAAGATATTGCTCATATAATATCATGGAAACACCATGTGACTCAGAGCTGGATGTATACATCTGTTTCAGCATAGGTCCATACATCAACATTAAAAACAAGGGTGGAGGGAAAAATGCTATGTAGCATAAGGTAAAACTTTCCAACTCTGCTTTCACATCCTGCAAAACTATGTAGGAGTTCAGCCTAGATTGCTGATAGAAAAAGGCCTGTAAATTCCATTTATCAATCCCAAAGGTAAAAGGGTAAAAATGGAAATCCCATATTCCTCTAATGAGGCGTGGGATGTTGGAAAATATGTCTCGTCCAGATCAGCCTCTCTGCTTTTCTTCATAGTTGAGCAAATAACAGCTGTGAAAGTTGACGGATAAAGACAGCTGGGGTCAGGAGTTGCACTGGTTGTAGCTGCAGTTTGAGGGTAACACACAGACATAGTTGATAAAACAGGAACGATTGCCTCATTTCTGTGGCAATAATCTGTCATCTTTGCTCAGACATAAACTGTAATATTTAGATGTGTGTCTGATCGTATTGCCCAAGATGACAACAATTCACCGACTGAATCATCTACAATTTAGTTTTATGCACCTGTGACAACCAGGATGAAAGTCTTTTCTCAATTTCTGTTCCCATAATTTGAAAGTTTCTTCTGCATAGGCACCATTTCAGTATCCAGCAGCATGAATGCTGTCTGTTATAAGTTGAGTTTTGTCTAATAACTCCTCTGCATGTTAAGGAAAGGGTACAGACTCTTTGGTAAAAACAAACTTGAACTTCATCTTACGAACAGAGTAACCTCAAGAAAGTGAGGTGAATGAAAACATGGTCTTTAGGCATTACAGAGGTTTGATGGAGTGAAATTATATACTGCAAGTAATTGTTACAGTAAACTGATTCTCTTCAAAACCTCTCAGTGCAAAAAAAAGACAACCATACAGGTGCTTCTGCAATAGAAACGTTCTCTTAGCCTGGAGCAGAAATCTTTAATTCCCATCATCTCTCAATCTCTCCATTGGCTTTTAAGTCTGAGTTCTTATAGACCAGACCGATACCGTCATTGTTGTTCGGCTGTGTTTGTGCCCGTTCAGGTGTTTGGCTGCTTGTCGTCTGTCTTTTTCTGGTCAGAACAGACATCATTTTGGACCGGTAGTGATCCCCAGCCAGGAAATACAGAATTGGGTCAATACAACTATTGACACTCGCCAGCGGCCTGGTGATCTTGTAGGTAAAGTTGACAATGTTGAGGAATTTACAATTAAGATCTAACACACGGGAGGTGTAGTAGAGGGTCCGTGTGATGTGAAATGGGACAAAGCTCACAGCAAACACCACCAACACCACAATGATGAGCTTGATGGACTTCTGACGTGAGGCAGCACCCTGCTGGCTGGCAGATAATCCTCGTCTGGGCTGGCACAGGGTCCGTGCCATCAAACAATAACACACCACAATGACCAGGAAAGGGACTCCAAATAGCAGGACCATGACAACAGAGCTATAGTCCACATACTCCTCAAATGACTCCTGGTTGGTCGTGTCATGGCACAGGGTATCATTGTCCCTCCTGGAGGTGGTGACGAAGATGAGGTTGGGCACCAGGCACACAGTCACAATGCCCCACACCATGCCGCACACCAGGTGGGCATGGCGGGACTTCACCAGGGTCAGTGCCTTGATGGGGTGACAGATGCCCAGATAACGGTGCACGCTGATGCAGGTCAGAAGTAGGATGCTGCAGTAGAGGTTGGCATAGAAGAGGAAGCGCACTATTTTGCAGGCAGCCAGTCCAAAGGGCCAGTGACTGCGGTTGGCGTAGTAATAGATGAGGGTGGGCAGGGAGAGGACGTACAGGAAGTCGGACAGGGCGAGGTGGAACATGAACACTGTACTGGGATTCCACGGACGCATCTTCAGGAACAGCCACAAAGCTGTGGCATTGAGCACGAAGCCAAAAACAAACACCAGACTGTAGCACACAGGCAGCAGAATGTATTTGAACTCCTCATCAAAGCGACAGCTAACGTTGAAGACCGACGTGAACACCGTCGACTGGTTATCTGTGCCACGGCTGCTGATGACTGTTTCCATGGTGATGTGACTTCTCAGTGTAGCGCTCTCAAGCCAGCAGATGACCAAACCTTCAAAGGAAGAAGACTTTTTATAAAGAAAATACACACAGATCAATAAAACTAAAAAGGTTAGTCAATTAATTGACAGAATATTAATCAGCAATTTTTCAAGAAAAATATTTCAAGTAAAACAAGATTGGATTTAAAAATTGAATCTCTTTGGACCGTTTGAAGATGTCACTATTTTCTGGCATTTTATAGAACTAATGATTAACTGGCAGATTAAATGATAATGAAAATAATCGTGAGTCGGTGGCCTAAGACTTGCTAATTCATTGAGGGGTCACTTTTTGGTAGTCTGTTTTTAACAGCAGCGGAAGAAGCATTCAGGTCTTTTTCTTAACTAAAACTAGTAATGCCACAGTGTGCACATAAGTTTTTACTTAAGCACAGTATTATCCTAAAGTATTCACTGCACAATGGCTTTTTTGTGTCATATGAATAGCCTACTATACACACATATACATGAATACACACACACAAACACACACACTCACACAATGACAAAGTTGAGATCCTGTGGGATCCAGACTGACAAACTGGTGATGGCTGACCAACCAGACATCTTGTTAATTTATGATGACCAGTGGTAATTGGAATACTGGGGGCTGTGACCCCCCCAAAACTGAACACCTGAACAACATCTGAAGTCTCTGTCCAGAAGAGTGCAGTCTTGAGGAAAGGGGATATATATATATATACACACACATGGACAGAGCTATATAGTATATATATACCCCAGACATACTAATATTTTACTACTTTTTTAACTTAAGGCTCCCTTTAATGTAAATATATAAATATACACATATATAAAAATTTCACACAACTAAAAAAAATTACAGCCTATTTTAAATGACAAAAAAAAATTAGATCAACTTATGTCAGAATGGCTATGATCAAATAATTTCAAAATTGGGATGAAACAGAGGACATTTTTAGTTCAGTGAGACTAGGGGCAGCCAGAAGAAATGTTGAGAAAAAACAATTGTGACATTGTGGTTTTTGTTAGACTTACAATTACCCCATGTGACGATTAGAAGTAGAAGCATAAAGTAAAAGTAATACAAGAGAAAGAATTTACTCCAGTAAAGCATAGCGCTTCAAAATTGAAGCCTACTTAAGTGCAGTAGGCTTTAGTAAAGGTAGTGGGCTACTACCGGTTTCAAGCGTTTAGACAAAATTTAGGTGTTCGACCACTTCTGTTCTCAACATGAGGTTCTAAAACAACTTTACCCCTTGGGTCGATAAATGTAAGAACCCAGTTCCTGTGATACCGTCGCTACTCACCCCAGCGGGATCCTAAACAAGTGCGAGTGTCTCGCTGGTCTTGATCCCGGTGCAGAGAAGTCGTGTAATTTAACCAGCTTCACTTTCCAGCCGAGATCCAGAAGCTGCTCCTCTCAGCCCGGTCGTCTTGTTCGTCCCTGAGCACATTAGATACACTTTAAAGTTAATTTAAAAGTTATTATTCGGTGAAAGTCGTCTTGGAGTCCATGGTGCCGCTGCAGTAACGCTGAGCGCAAATACACTGAGAGTAGCCTACAACACTCTCCGGGTGAATTGGGAAGTCACAGTGCTGAGTAGACGAAACTGCCTCCCTAAAAAACATCTTCAGTGGAAGTTATTTTCAATTTAGTGAACCACGAAAATGATACCAGAGCGTATTTAGCTACACATAAACACTTGTTAGATTTTCTCCTTATAAGCAGCTTCTCAGGGACAGCACTTCCAAACTAATATGTTAATAAGGAAGAAAAGTCGCGAGAATAAGTCGCAATTTCTATATTTTTATCTATTATGATTATCATTAGCAAGTGTGCTTTTAAATGTCCTAATTCTGGATTAACATGGGTGCAGTAATTCAATTCTTGGAGTACCCTATTGTGTGCTCTTATTTTCTTCCACAACAGTCCAGAAATATTATCCCTGTTAATATGATTTGCTCATGACATCAATGCAGAACTATGGAATAAATTACACAACAGAGTATTAAGTAATCAGACTCTGGAGCCATGACAAATAGCCTACTGCTTCCATGCCCTGCATAACACATGAAGAAGTAGCACTCTGACACTGAATACTTTTACTTTTGATATTAGAGAACCTTTTGCTGCTAATGTTTCCATTCTTGAGTAAACTTTTGAATGCAGAACTCCATTGTGATATTTCAGATTTTAGGCCTACTTAATGTGAATACTTCTACCACCATGAAACTTATTCCCATGACAACATGGCAGTCAATAATGTTAAATGCTACAACTTTTAAGCTAGAAGTTAATATTTGCACAGCTGTACAATAGTCTGTAGCGGTTATAAAAACTGCTCTCTGGAGCTATGAGGTGTTAAGTGGTTCGTCTCCTCAGTTATCTTTTTTCATCTCAGGCTTTTTTGTAAGATTCAGGACATAAGGTGTGGAACTGTAAAGTCTGATCATAAAGAAATAAAAGTAGGCAGGGTGAGCAATGCTGTTGTCAGAGACAGATAAATGAAGGTGAGATGAGGCTGTTACTTAATAAGTTACCAAAAACTAACGACTGATTGACCCACAGTCACAAACAAGAACGTATCCACTCTAATAACCCAAAGTTGTGCAAAAAGTGCTTTAACCAAAAAATAAATAGAGCAGAATTATCAATACACATAAATGTTATTTTCAGATTTTAAAGCATTACCTATATCTTGGCAGTATTTGGAAGTTAATTTGAGATCTATATAGACCAATAACTTATCTGAAATAGTTTAATCCTGATATGGTCAATAAAAGTAAGGGTGGGATGAACTTCAGGTGAAAACAAATCCCTCACATACGGAAAGTCCAGAACCCTTCAGCCCATTCCCATAATGCATATCTGTGTTTGGGTCAGCTTGGTGGCAGCAGTGCCTGTGTTTGTGAATGGTTTCTGCGGTTAACATGTCTGGAATGTGAGTGGGCCACTGACAAGGCATGTTCTTCATCAGAAATCCATTCAGTACAGCATTGGATTACAGAACCTCACAGATGGAAAAACGTGTCAACACATAAACAGAGCTGCTTTTATATACTTTTCTGTTTCCTTTTTGTCTTAAAAGTCCACCCTCCACCCAAAAATGTGTTTTGCTCATAATGACTTCACTTGGATGTTTGAGCATGACTGTCCAGAATGATGTTTGTGACACAAGCGGATGTGTACTATGATTTTGTATTTTATAGTGGTCATATTATTATTTATATTATGCTCATTTTCAGGTTCATCATTTTATTTAGGGGTTGTACCAGAACAGGTTTACATGGTTTCATTTTCAAGCACATTGCTGCAGCACCTCTTTTCACCCTGTATGTTGAATGCTCCATTTTAGCTATGGATGATGCATCGCACTTCAAAAAGATCTTTGTTGGGAGTTGCACATGCACCCTACCTAGTTAAGGACTACTAGCCAATCAGAAACAGAGTGGGCCGGCCCTGAAAAGCCTGTAAACATGGCTTCGGTTCAGATGTTCCCCTTATCAGCTTAGTAACATGGACTGGAGCAAGAGTTTCAGAGTGGTGAGTTATTAATCTGTAACAAATGTATCTTTCATCCATAAAGTTTTAACTGTGTCTCTACATCACAGTAACAACTTTATAACCATTGACTGCCTGGTGGGTAGCTAGTGTTTGGAAGGGAGAGGAGAGACAGTTTTGTCACTGTGTGCTGCAGCACAGTGTGTTTTTTGAGGGTGTGCCTGACTAGTCGGTAGGCTAGCAGTATGAAGCGTATTTTGCTGTGACGTCACAGCAAAGCGGAAGAAAAGGCTGGACTACAAACAAGCTGTTTTCAGGCAGTTCAGAACAGTGTTGTCTGTGAGAGATGGGAACTCCCTTTGGGGTGGAAAGCGGCTTTTTCACTTTGCAAACCTATTACATGCACAAAAATGGTATATAACACAATAAAGGAAAAGGAAAAAGCATAATACCACCTCTTTAAAGCCAATCATGGTCCAATATGTAACTTTGAACATGGCACTGTGGGGATGTGATTATGAAGAATGCTTTTTCAGTGAAGTGAAGAAATGTTTGAAATGACAAATACTTGCACAATCATAGATTATGGGTTTTTCGATAACAGAGGAGAATATGTAATTTTAAGAATTTTTAACAAGGAAAAAAAACATACCCCATACTAAATATTATTCAAAGAAGACTACTTTGACATGTCTTAAAAAACATGTCTGGTGGGGATCTTTAAACTTTACTTTGTCTACATGTGCATATGTTTTTCAAGCATAACTCAATAATCATGAAACACGCTGCTACATCATCATGGACTAACAATGCCAATTTAAACTCCCATTCAATTAAACATGGGAGTTTTAAAAGATAAAACATTCAATAATTTCCACCCATTTCCATTAAGTTGCAAGTTGCCAAAGCACCCAGCACCCCTATAGGTGATGATATCACCGCTGTCAGTAAAGCAGTGACTCAGTGGTCACTGACCTGCTGCTGCCACAAGACAGAGGGATGTGTTTGGACGTGCTTTAATAAGTAACTTCCTCAACTAAATGTTACAAGCAAAAATACAGACACTCACACACTGAGTGGAATATTTAAGAGTTATTTTAGGATCGGATTCACACGTGTCTCATAACTTTTTGTTGTGGTCTATTATTTAACTAAGCTGACAAATACTGCCCTCGCATGTGTACATGGCCTCTCTGTCAGTCAGACTGTGTCACAAATATAACTGATGTAATCATATTTAAAGTTGTTTCACACGGTTCAGTCATCCAGACTAAGGAAATAGTATTTATGCGCTTTTCAAGAAAAACCTCAGTGCTCTAGAGTAACTTCAACAAAAATGGAAAATATCAATGGTGTAAAAACCTAGAGAGAAATAGAAATCAGACACTGATATGTGTGCTTGCTGTGACCTAATAAAAAGAAAAGACTATGATGCGTGACTAAACCTAGTTGGCGACACACAGTGTGTTGGTACTTGCATGAATTCCACTTAAAGAGAAGCATTGTCTTTTTGTCATGGCTTTTAAGTATTGTGGAAAAGAAATGCCCAATGACTGTCATTTATTTTGTAAAATAAATATGGTTGTATCTCTGGTGTCACAAACTCTCTTAGTTAGTAGTGACGCATGCTGTCTGTTTAAAAAAAGTAACCCATATGCATTAAGTAAACAACCTACAGGCAGCGTAGTGTGATGATGTGATTTGAGCACTGAAATGGAACAGACTTGATGCATGGATTTCTCTGTTTCCACTTCTGCTTGACAGCATGAAATAACACTTGTGAGTGCTTGGTGACAGTCAAGAGTTGTTTTATGCACTTTACTTTATAAATGTTGCATAAAACAGGCACAGTAGACAGAGGTACTGATTAAGTGACATGATAACAGTATGAGACAGAAAACAAAATGAGATATGACAGCTCCTTCTATACCAACTTTACAGACAGTGTTATGTACAGATAGATATGTACAGCTATGGATTTTACGCTCCATAGGTTTAATAGAGGGCTTTTACAAGCTCAGATCCAGGCTCAATAATAGCAGAGTAATGGAAAGCAGACAGTAGAAGGGATGAAGGCGAATGATAAACACTAGCCTTGAGTGAACACTGGAAATTGAAGGACTGTCTTTTTATAGTCATTTAAAATTAATTTAAAACAAAATCAATGAGACCTTGATACCATAATCAATATTTGTATAGGTGTCACGTGTAACCGGAGATACACATCAAGGTTTTCCATTCATATCAACCACCTCTTTCATTATCCACCGAGATGGATGGGTGAATAAAGCAGACTGTGCAACGAGTTCTTTCTGCTTTGTGTTCCCTTTGCTGTGTTGACACAGACAAACTATTGTTACAGTACTGATCGAGTAAATGAAAAGATGGCAGGGCTGTGGTAAAGTCCAGCTGATGTGACTGAGATCCGATCAGTCGGCCTTCCTTTCATATCTCGGTTCTAACAAGTCTTCCAGTTCTAACTGAGCAGACAACATGGTTTTGTACCATCAATGTTTTTCATCTCTGTATGTCAGTTCCAGTTCCTGGGCAGGTTCTCGAGGATCCTGCGTCGGTGTGAAGGGTTCATTACTCCGGCAGCGCGAAGATCCTCTTCAGTGATACTACTGTGGAGAGGACAAAATGACACTGAATCAAACTTTGTAAAGTTTACAACTTCACAGTCTCGCAAATCTTTGTAAGTACACATGGTGCCAACATCTTTACATCAACACACCATGACTGGATTTATTTTTAGCACTTTGTAGGGTCTAACTGCTAACCTGACAATCATTCAGAAGGTGAGGGTGACACGCTAGTCATTTATCAAGTATACAACTGATTATTGAAACTTTCTTGTGCACATGAAGGTTACCTCTACAAACAACCATATCTTGCCCACATAAAGAATGGAATCAAACATGACTCAAACAATAGACTTGTGTGTTTCTAGTTACTCATACCACTTGTGCTATATTTTTTGTTCTGGTTTGTGTGTTCTCGTGTTCATTTTGCAAAGGCACCACAGAGTTAAGCAGGTCTGTGGTGAAAAAATTAACACTGGGTTTTGGTGTTGACAGCTTTCATGTTACAACAAACACTGCGCACTCTGTGCCTTAGGTTTTATTTAGATACTAAAAGAGAGGTGTGTTTGGGGAAATTTGCTAGATTGCTGTTGATATTAGTATCTCAGCCTGTCACACCCTGTGGTGTGGTGGTTGCTCCTTGCATGTCCAAACCCTGTCCCTCCCGGCTCCCTCACCTTTGTCCAAATTTACACTTTCTGGCTCTAGTAACTGCAAAAAACACCTCCTGTCAGTTTAGTAACAGTACATTCACATTTATTCATTTAGCTGACGCTCTTATCCAAAGCAAATTACAATTGCTATATATGTCAGAGGTTGCATGCCTCTGGAGCAACTAGGAGTTAAGTGTCTGGCACAGGGACACATTATTTGTGTCTGTCTATGAACTTCAGTATTCAGACTACCTAAGTACAGCTTGTGGAATATGTTATCCTAAATCAATACTTTACCTGAAGTAATCCAGATCATCCCAGCCATTGAGACTGAGTCCCAGGGTGTATTTCTGAAGGCCCAGAGTACTGAGAAGCTCCTGCACGGTCTCAGGTGCACCTTGGAGGACGGACACCTGCATTGAGATAAACCAGACGGAACTTTTTACAAAGAACCAGGAGTCATGCCTTTTAAAAACTGTCTTTGAGAGCAGTGTCCTACCTCTTTCTCCCAGCTGTAGACTCTATGTCCATGCATGGAAGGGCCATTTCTATTACATGGCCTCTGGTTGGAGATGGACGGGCCTCCCTGCTCTGTGGGGAAGAAGTCAACTTCGCTGAGAGACTTGGCAATTTGCAAAGCAGTCAAGGAGTTGTCTCCTGTAGGTCCAGGGGCCTGCTGATCCACCGTCCATGGAACAGAGGCCTGACAGTGTGCTAAATGAGTGGGGACGTAGGGGAAGGCTGATGGCACCTTGGCTGCCCGGATAGGATTGGTCCTTTCTGGGAGAAGCTGATGTTGATCCCTTCTGGCTTTTTCCCTGATGATTGCCGAGTGGTTCATATACAAGTTCCTCAGGTTCTTCTCGGGCAGCACGGAGTCTTGAACAATATTCTTACCTTGGTATTTGTCTCTGGGTTGTGATGCCTGTTCCTGGTACTGTGACATGGCATTACTTGAGGGCGGAGGTATGGGAGATGGATTTTTGGCTGGAAAAAGCTGATAGGAAGAGTTGGTTTGGGTTGTGTGAAGGTCATTGGTTGGAGAGTACTGGGACCGGACGGCTGGGATTTCAATCTCTGTAAAGTCTGATCTGCGACAGGGTCTTCTGTCAAAGCCCTGACGTCCTGACAGTTTTGGGAGCTGTAAGGCCTCATTTCCAGACCAGATCACCTGAGGATCCCTTCGCAGCGGGAGAGCCTCTTCCACCCTGCGCACCACTGACGTACCTTCAAGGATGAAGTAGGCAGGATTGGTGTAGCTGCTCGGAGTGAGTTTGGGAGGAGCTGCCGAGGACCTGCAATGAACATACAAGTCTAAGTGTGTCCTTAATTCTCACTCACTGACTTCACAAGAGTTTTAAATGTGTCCTCTAGCATTCACTGTAAACATTGCAGATGTTCAGACCAAAACTGGCACTGAGCTAAAAAAAAAAAATGCCCTGTGTACAAAACACATAGGGACTGTATTGCTGTGGGCATGTGGCTACAGGTACCGGTGAGAAGTGAAATACAATCCAGATAAACCAGTTTGAATATGACACCCATGAGTTTGAAGACTTATCAGACATAAATACACTACAAAAGCACTGTATAATACAATGAGACAGGATTTTAAGAAACCGGATTTTAAAGCTCTCATTTCAACAAGCACAAGAGAAACCGCAGAAACACACATTTCATGCCTCATTTTGTATTTGATTGACCAACCTCATGATGTTGCATTGCCGTATGTCAGATTTTAGCTGCTTTCAAGTCATCTGAGCCATGTTTATTGACTACTGACAAAACTGCCAATGACTGTGAAACATGAACTTGCTGCTTTATACACTTATTGTTTAACCTTTGCACTGAAAAACACTTATTCATAGATTTTCAGTATAATTTAGATAATATCTACTGCCTCCCAATTCACCTGCTCATAGCTAACAGGATTTGGGAACAAATTTCTAATTGTGTTCAAAATAAAAGTACACAGTGTAAAGTGAATCTAACTTGAATCTAACTGAGTTTGGTTATGTCGAAAAACATAGCAGGTAAAATGTGCTCAACAGGAATTGTAAACTAATGTTATCAGAGATGTGTTCTTGGCATTAAAAAGTAAATAAAACTTATAAAATAAAATATTGCTCCTGGAAAATAGGGTGTGTGACGTCAGTTATTTTTGCTGTGATTTTGAAAACGTTTAGCTTCAGAGAACCATTCCTTGAGAGCTGAAGGCATGGGTTAGGGTTTATAACACTGATGCACAGAAACATGAAGAGGGCCTTACCTGTTTATTGGGACCCGTGTAGATGCAGGAGACATGAGTCCCATTCCAGGACCTTTATAATCTTTCTCAAAATAGAACCACTCTGAAAAAGTCAAATCACAGAAAATGAACACCACATGTTGTCTTTGTGTTGTGTGCAGGCCAAAAGCTATGTCAGTTTGCAATCGCACAGGGAATTGGTGTGTGTCGTAGTAGTGCCTGACCTGGTGGCATAATACTCATCTGTCCTTTTTCCATGTCTCAGGATGCATCTGGTAAGGGCCACTCATTCAGGAGCCGAAAGAGGAAGCAGTCGATAGATACCAGCAAGTGTAAAGCAAAGGCAGGGATCATTGAGGAACCAAATAGAGGAAGCAATGAGACTCAAAGGAGAGTGAAAAAACTGTAGTGAAAGTGGAGATGAAAGTTTAGTAGGAAGTGATAGTGCATGCAAGGCAGAGGAAAGGAAAGGACCAGTTCTGGCTGACCTACCGTAGATCTTCTCCCTTGTTGCTCGTCTGTCCTTGGGCACATGGATCCTGACACGTCCTCTAATGGAACCCATCTCTTCTCCTCTGTGACTCAAAAATGTCTCAAACTGCTCTGATGCACCGGTCAGTGAGCGCAGAGCCACACAGCATTCACCTATAGAAAAGATTAAGATTATTCCTTAGATCAATGAAACATTTTGTCCTGCAACAACCTGTCCATCCAGATATAGTTTACGCATGATTAATGTATATTAAATGTATATTTAAAACACTCAATTCAGTGCTTCAAAATAGAGTAATCATGACATTTTACAGTGATTTTCCCCCCCAATTGCATAGAGATGAAGAAACTGCAAGCATATCTCAGTAGAAAATAGTTGTCAATAAACTGGTTCACAAACAGTGTTGGGCAAGTTACTTCCAAAATCTAATACATTATAGATTACTAGTTACTGTCATTTGAGAGTAATTAGTTATATTACAATATTACTGTCTCTGAATTATAATGCTTTACACAACTTTTGCGTTACTTTCACAGCTATTTAATGGGTGCATCATTCAGATAGTAAAATGCGCCTGCATAGGTTCTAGTGATGTGAAGAGTTATATCCGCTGATCTCGTGGATCTGTGTCATAAAAATTATCCTTCTGGGGGGGGGGGGCTACCGCCTAAGAGGAGCCAAGCTCCCCCATAGTTCACATCCTGCCCACAATATCGACCATAGGATTCCTGCAGGAAATAAAATTTTACTCATGGATTTGTTTTTCTGGTACTGAAATATTTCTTGGCGTTGGTGAAACACCACTTAAGTTCGGGTTAAAATGCGTTGTAACGTGTATTACCAAGATTGTAACGGGTATAATAATACCGATTTTTTTTTTTAGTAATGTGTTATATTACTGTGTTACAGCAAAAAGCAATACATTACTGTAGTTGCATTACTTTTGTAATGTGTTACTCCCATTACTGTTCACAAATAGTGTTATTTTCAAAGATATGTTGCTTGGCTTTTTAATACACACTTTTGGATATTAAGCTCATGGTCAAAACTGCAAACTGTATAAAAACAATGAAACTATCTGGGTTAGTAGATAACATGTAGTAAGACTTAAAAAAGGAAAATAAATCATTTCATGTTTGTAGATAAACTGTCACTCTAAAGACACTATCAATTAGAAATGGAAACAAGCTAGAGGATGGTTATGAATAGTGATAAGACAAATTAATTAGAAAAATTTAATCTGCCCTGTCACCAACCATATGACTCAAACCCATCACATGACTTGATAGACAACAGCAGGTGCTGATCCTGAAGATACTCCATGTCGGACATTATGGGAAGAAGCTATGACAGAAACAAACAAATCACAAGTTAAAAATTTCACTTCAAAAGCAAAATACATTTTCATCCATTTCCAAATGGACTGAGCCTCTAACCTTCGGCAGTTGTTTGAAGGACCAGCCCAGTTTGAGAAACCCAGGAACATCACAGCTCTGTGAGTCATTCTCACTTGAGCGTCTTGTCTCTGCAAAGAAAGACTTTTAATTTTTGCAACTGTGCTGCATAATGCTTTTTATAAAATGCCCTTTTAAAGTGACACCATACCTTCAAGGCAAGACGCATGAAATTCAATGAAGAACTTTGCCTTGCTTGCTGTCTTCACAATGGTCTCAATGCCTTCAAGCTCTATCCAGGCCCTCTCCATGCTTGAATGAAGATCTGTGCAAGACAAATGCATAACAATACTGTTCACCTAATGAATGGATTCAGTCACATTCCACCTGTTTGTGTCCAAGGGCCACAACAATGACAGCACCTGTTTTGGAGCCGAACTGTGATGTAACTCCCACTTGGAACGTGGCAAAAACAGGTGAGTGATCACTTGTGAAGATGTCATCTGTGCAACCTGGTAAGAGACAAATCCATCATATGACTTTATGATTGTAATTGTACTTGTACAAAACTAAATATCTTGTACTGTAGCTAAAAACATTGTACTAAACTGTAAGGCAGATGAGCTGTCAGCGATATTTCATAAGATATGACTAAAGAGTGATTTAGGGAGACCAAGAGTACTTTTGCTTGTACCCAGTGTTTGTTTTGTGTTGATAGTTTGCTGAGGTTAGTCTGAAACAGAAGCTCAGGCTGAAAGAGAGGAAATGAGTTTTCAGTTTCTTTGTGGACCACAGACCAGGATGTAGGGGTTGGCCGTTATCGTGTTGTGGGTTGTTCTCATTTTACAATCGTACAAAAGAAAAGAATTACCACAGATATCTAATTTGAGAATTCTGCATCAAAACACTTTGCTGTGTCAAGCCTTAAGCCCTGCCCTTTCTTTGCTGCTCTAAATATGTGTTGTTTATGCCTTACTTCACCATTTACTTAAAGCTTTTTATGCTATTTTTGTTTATAATCTCCAGATCTTACCATATGCAGTGCAGATGATGTGTGTCTCTGGGTAGGACTTCCACAGAATCCTATCACACCACGATGGAACATTGATTCGCACCTACAGAAAGAGATTTAGGTATAAATCAGCAATGTCTTGTATATTTGTCTGCCTACAAATTGAATTCACAGACTGTACTGTATGTAGTAAAGGGTGCCTTCATTCCTGTTATTTCAGATGTTCCTTTTTTTAGACTGTGGGTTAATTCTTAACCTCCTATTTTTAGTGGCTATGGCAGCTGTTGTCAACTATCCCTACAGACACCTTAAATAGGATTAAGTTGCACATAAAAATATCATAAGAAGTGAGCCTGTATACTTAGAATGCTACTACAGTATTTTTTCATTGTTGTTGTTCTTTGCTTGTGCAGTATGTATTATATATTTAGCATCAGAGTCTACAATACAATAAACCTACAGGCTGAAAGTATGACAACGGCAGGCCAGAAAATTTAATCACAGGACACTATTAGAGTCTATAGCCATATTAGCCCTGTGAGGCTGTACTTTGATCTCCAGATTCTTCAGGATATATTGTCTGGGAACCATGAAGATCTGTACAAAATTTCACAGCAATCCAAAACTATAGTTGTTAAAAATTTCAGTCTGGGTCAAAGTGGTGGACCGACCAACAGACCGACATCCCCAGAGCCATGCCGCTAGCTTGACCAAAAGCCTTGATTTAGTAAGTTATCAAAGTATTGCTTGTACAGGGCCAAACATTTTTTGGCAGCTACTCAGAGGTGCAGATATTGCTTTAATTGTGGGCACGCTTCCTCTGTCCTGTGCCTGAAAGATTTTTTTTATGTACAAATCATCCTGGTTTTTCTGAGGTGTTTTTGTGTCACAAGAAATGACTCACTCCTGAAGTCTTGTACTTTTGCCAAAGGTAGCAGTCTCGAGAGCCCCGTTCATACCGGTAGGTGGGTGGAAATGTAATCTTCTCTTCCTCTTAACCGTGATAAACAGAGAGGGAGTACAGAGTGAGGTAAGAAACGGTAGAGCCAAATCATAATTAATTGTATTTATTTATTTATAATTTATTTTGTAATTGCATAATATGAGTAAAGTGCTTTTACAAATGATATACACAGCTTCCAATATAGAACAAAGGCCAATAGCAAACTGAAACTCACTGAAATTGAGGAAGGCCTTTCTCTTGTGTCTCTCCCGGGTCAGCTGGTCTGCACACATGAGCTCCTCAAACTCTCTCTTAGATACATGTTTCAGGATGTCCTGGAGTCAGTGAGGACCACATAGAAGCCGTAACATCAATGTCTGGGAATTCTCAGTAGGCTATAATACCACATGTACTATCAAGCCAGTCTTCCAGGGGTGCTAAATCAGAACACAATGTTAACAAAAAAAATTAATTATGCCTGTAAGTCCGACCTGTACATCCAAGTCGAGTCTGTAGTTGAGATCTCCACACCAGAAGAGATGGGTGAAGCGCAGGCTGATGTCAAAGGCACCGAGCTGTTTCTCACCCAGAGAGAGCAGTCTGAGGATGTCTACAAAGTTCTGGTTCCTCCTGAATGTGATGTACATTACAAGAGACAATAAATACGATTACTATACTTTAATACTATGAGAAAAGAAACAGGAGCACACACACTCACTTGGTCTTACACATATGTATACACATATACACACAATGTACCTCAGGACTTTCTCACTGCCAGAGGTCAGGTGGCAGTTAACAAACCCAAAAGATGTTCCGTTGAACAGGAGGGAGACACCAACAGCCCCCTTGTTTCCTGAAACAACAGATATACAGTACATATTTCTGTCTGTTAGCCCGTATATTTTCTATATTTGCTTTGTATGTATTTTGTGATGGTGAGATCATGCAGGGCAGTTTACCCAATGTGTTCCCCAGGCCAGTCCTCACACTGGCTGTGTTCACATGGCTGATGCGACTCTCATGCTCCGGCTTCACAAACACAGCCAGTCTTATATTCCAGAGGGACTGTACTGCCACCTACAGGACGATTGTGTCACATTACAATAGATGACAAGAACAGTTTCCCATAAGTCAGAGACACATTTCTCGAATGATTTGATCTGTTTCTTTAAAGTCAGTCTCCAATTCATTTGAATACTGAAACAGATGCTCTTGTTCTACGGCTTTGATTTTAGATTACATCTTTGTAAAAACAAAATCACTAACATAATATGTCCAACAAATTACACAAATAATCTTGTACATTGTTCTAAAATGTAAGCCTTTAGGTTTACAGTTTGTTTTTTAAGTGAAACCACAAAGAAGTAACCTGTGACTCTACTACTCAACAACCTTTTTTATTTCTGTCAGGTCAGAAGCATGATAGTATCTGTAGTTTCTTGTGTGTGTGTGTGTGTGTGTGTGTGTGTGTGTGTGTAGAAATGAAGAATAGTAATATTAGATTAGATATTAGATACTGGGTATAGCTTCACCCTGAGATGTTATGTAAACATTTTGTGCAGTTTTTAGTTCATATATTCATTAAACATAAACTGGGGAAAAAAGAATAAATAAGAAAGATTAATTTTTAAAAATGCTAGCAAAATTGTTAATTAGCCATCATTGTGTAAAAACCAGTTGTTTGGTGTATTAGGGAATAAGTGGTTTAACTTTACAACATATCCTATCAGTAAACCTTTGCCATACTTGCTCAATTAAAAGAGAGCGCCAATGATTTAACATTGCACTCCTATAACACTGTAGGACTAATGATAGAAAAAACAATAGACGTCACTTGAGAATCAAAACCAGATTGTGACATCAAATACACAACCTTTTCACATATGCTATGTTACTCCCCAAACAGACTTTGATGTGGTAAAATCAGTAGTGAACCCCACTATTCTGGGCATGTACAATTGTGAGTATTTCGTCTGTGAAATAGATAATTTATGGATAATGCACCCTATTTAGACATAAGAATCAACTACTGAAGTTGAAAAAAGTTGGAAAGGGGGAGAATTACTTGTTTGAAGTCAATGTGAGTGTAGGTGCGTAGGGTTGCTTTGATATGTTCAGTCCATTCTCTCTCCCCCTGAGGGTTTTCCTGAGTCCCCAAGGCATAGATATCATGAGGGAGCAAGGCGGTGGACTCGTCAGGGGTGTGTCCCAAACCGCAGCAGGTCACCCACGACTGCAGGCTGCGAGGAGGAGGGGAACCACCTGTGCACACAAAACACAATTAATAATAAAATAAAAAAACATCTCCCTCTAATTCACCACATTAACGAGTCCTTTGTTTGCTGACAGTGAAAGAGACATCACATTTATGCTTACCCATATTCCAGGTGCCAACAAAGACAGAGACCATGTCAGGTTCACTCAGGTGAGAGTGCCTGGTTTTCATCAGCTGGAGGAGTTGGCAGAAGGCATCACATTTCTGAACGAGACAAGATTCACTCAGTGAATTATAGGCAAGGACACTGGATTTCAGTAAATAAATAAAGCTATGATCTTGCCTTACCCGTGCACTCTCAAACATCATCTCCCGGGGTGTGTTGTGGTGGCTGTCGACCACCATACGGACCTTGGCCGGACTGCTCTGAAACTTGACAATCTGAAGAACTGATGCGCAACAAACATGCAAGCAGACAATTATACAACATATTTGCAAGCAAGAGAAATGTTACAGACACTGAAAAGCAAATATAGTACTTACTTCTGTCATGTGAGACCCTCTCTATACCAAATGAACCAGCCTTCCTGTCAAAGAGCAGCACTCCGGTGTCCACATCCACAGAAGCAGTCTGTCTGCCATACTTCACCATCTTCACCTGAACAACACAAAGCACAACTGTAAATACATTTATGTAGTCACAGATCAGGTGTGTGATTTGTCTTATTTCATGTCATATTTCAAGATAAAATAAAGATGATAAAACGTGACTGAATAACAGGCCATTTACAGAATATTGCTGGTTGTAAGATGAAGCGTCTTTTTCAGCCTGATTTACCTGAAAGGAGTGGACTGGCAGCTGTCTGGCATGGTTCTTGACAGGTGTTACATTGGTGGGTGTCGATTCAGGAGGAGGTGGGTTAGGCTGCACTGCCAGATTGTGATTGGTCACTGCATCTTGTAATGCTTTTAATACCTTTATAGGCAGAGAGTTTGCAGTGTTACAATTTAACTAGTGTTGTCCTTCACAAACAAGCTTGGTTTGTTTTTCATCTGTCAATGAGAAAACCTCATAATCACTCAATGACTGACCATTGCCAATACAAGTTACAAGAATCTGAATGAATCACACAGGGTGCTGGCCCAGCCATCAGGAGCAATTTGGGGTTCAGTGTCTTGCTCAACGATCCTAAACATGTGGACAGAAGGAGGAGGGGATCCACCCGTTCTACCTCCTGAGCCACTGTCACTCCTCATTTTAGTTTATTTGTTGTCCATGTACTGACCATATGACCTAGAAGCAATAGTATTGCTACAAATGTGTAATTCTTTTCCAATGTTTCTCCACAGTTTCTCAACTCTTTAGCAGCCGTTTTAACTCAACATACCTTTTTCTCCAGTGAAGAAAGGAGGCTGACCAAAGCTGAAATTTTAAACAACAGGCTGTCTATCTCCATCACTGGGTCCTTGATCCAAAAAGACAAAAGAATGCACCTTTATCTCCTGCATCACTGGGTTGCCATTTTAAAAATTACAGTTAGTTACTGTTCTTCAGAAAGTATACTGCAGGGTTTGTATTGTACCTGTGCCTTGTTATGTGTTAAAGAGCAGCTAGGATGGTCAAAGACCTTGGCCAGGGTTTCCAGACTTGAGAGAGTCAGGTCAATCTCACTGCAGATCAGATCAATTTGCAATGACCACACATCTGTTTACATACATTTTAGTGCAGAACATCTAATGCATATATTTCGTAATGAATAAAAATATGCTGAACCATAACAGTCCATACATTGCAAATTGCTCCTAATTTTCACTTTCAATTCATCATTAACAATAAAATCAAAAACATGCTAACCTGTTTAGGCCTTGGCAGGCAGTACCCAGAGTACGCTTGAGGTGGCATAGAGTTGTTGCACCTTTATGCATATTCTCAATATCAAGAGGCAGCTCACTGAAGAGGTAGTCATTGAGTAGACCAATCACCTCACCTGCAGGACTGTAAACAGAACAAAACAGACAGAATTCAGATTGTAGTATTTTATTATCTGTGCAAGCCATTTCAGCTGTTATCTCTGTATTTATCTGCTAGCAAAAACACTCCTTGAAACATTACAGATATAAAGTAGACGAATAGTAATAATTCCGCACATAGTAAATGCTAAATCGATACTATTTATAGGTCCAAAAAAAAGAAGAGCGAACAGTGTTTCAGATGTTGCTTTCTCTATGCTTGATTGCCAACAGGTGCATATTTAAATAAGAAAATGTTGATTGTAAGTGAACATGACAGATGGCTTACATTGTAGTTACA